TATATGAGAGACTGGTTACCACTTAGTGGGCGTATAAATGGGCATCTAATTAGTAAAGGAAGTTCACTAGGGAAACGTAGGAGAGGAATGCCACAATAGGAGCGGTTTTGAAACCCAATGATAGGTGTGTTAGCAGAAGAAGAGCATATCCCAGCTCGAAAAGCGCTAGTGGCATCCTTTATCCTTGCTTGCAATCCCAAGATCAACTGCAAGAACCAGCTGTTCGTCTAACGAGTGATGCCTTTTTTCCCAATTTGAAGATTACAGCTGCCTAGTATCTAAGCATACATTCGTGGAATAGGCTATTGTATCTTCATATATAGGGGCCGGAAATCTCAGTTAGCTTACGCTGCACTCTTGGAACATTGGTGAATCAATGACAGCTCGAGACCTTACCACGGCCTTGATAGATCAGTCAAATGTACGAAGTGGAGTAAGCATAAGCATTTGGTGGCTCAGTATGTTCGCTTAAATTCGAAACACTCTCATGCCCCTGAAGGCCGTAACCCCAAACAAAGACAACAATAAAGGTGTTTCAGTACAAACCTGTTACGGCATAATACTCCAGTCGCATAGGCTGTAACAAACGTATAATCGGTTATGCGACGTCAAGTCTGCGGTGCTAGCAACGGTGCGTTGTGACGCTGCGAACAGCGCTATGCGGTGAAGCGCATCGCGTGCTACAATGCGCTTCGCAAGGCACTCCGGCGCAGGACCGAGTGATACAGCCTATACATCCCATGCCAATTTTCACAACAGAACCCAACAAAATTTACATGTTCCAGGACTTCGTGCCCCCTGGCACTGGTGCTAATGCACCAGTGTCACCTCGAGCTGTGGTTTCTCCCACATTCTCGGAAACTAGGGTCACATCGACTGTTCAGCAAAATGTTATCCAACCTGCGCAGACAATCACCACAACAACCACGCAAGCAAAGCAGTGAGTGTTATACACTAATATCTCATGGATTACTGCAACGTGACAGGTATTTGAATGTTTCAGGCAGACGATTGTAAACAGAGAAGCAGAAGAACTTGGCAAGGTAACTCTCAACTAGAAGTAGAAAAAGCCGTAAATAGCCGCCAGACTCCTAAGTTAACCTTAATTGAAATAAGACGAGATTTGGAAGATTACGGCAATGGCGCCTTTCTTTTACGGGAGACTTTCCATGACCTCGCTACATAGCATACAGTCAATAATATCTGGGCAGTCAGGCTTGTTTCGAATTAGCTACTCCCATTTACACGAGTATGTTTTTGTTAACTGGCCTAAATTGTATCACTTGAGCAGTCTTAATTCGCTAATTTCTACGGTTAGAAAACCGCACGAAAACTTGGAAGTTGGGGAGACTGTCACGAGGCGCGATTCTTCAAAGGCCGCCAATTTAACAGCCCAATTTGGAGTTATGCGACCCTTTCTAGGATACTAGAGAATGTACTCAATTTACTAGCTATGAAATGTGTACTCTTTCATAGAACATGGGACGCGGTTTAAATCTGCTTTCGGTATCCGCAGACCGCTTCTAGGAGGGAAATTGAGAAAATCTTTCAATTTTGTGCTCCTAAATCTATTAGACAGCGAAATGTGGGGTCAAGATCGGGCAAGTTAAAAGACTAATAATTGTTTGAAGATGGTTTCCACACTGATAATCTTCTTTTTGTTTTGAGCGGTAGCCAGTTTCGCTACAAAGTTTCACAGTTTTAACGTCTGCTTCGCCCGAGAAGTTATCTCAAAGTAGTGTAAAATGAGCAAGATCTTTTTTTGCGCTTGTCATAATCCACATGGACCACCTTGTACTTCCATGCTTTTGCAGGGAACCTTATAAGTCTTCCAGTTTTAAGCGTCAATTGTTTGAAAGAAAAATTCAAGCTGCAGAACAGCAAGATTACTCAGCATATTGTTGCAGCATTTGCTCTAAAAACCGCAATAGCTATCTAAAAAAGAAAGTTAGAACCACAATTTTTTGAAAACCGGTAGAGTGTTTGACACAATGTGTTTCGTACTTCATTTTATGGTAGATTCGTTAGCCACACAGACTGGACATCACTGCGGAGCACGCGCCGCGAGGTGCAGCGCTTGCGCCAGTAAAGATTCGCCATTGTAGTACAAGTTGCTTTCGCAACATTACAACCGCGCCGCGCTTGGTCCGTAATGTTCCAGCAGCCGTGCGGTCAACGAATCGACACTTCAAATTTTGGAATATAAAAGCGAGTACGCTGGTTCAGTGTGTGTTCTAAGTTTGCAAAAAATTTTTTGCAATTTCTTTTACGATATACTGTGGAGTCGTTGAGAGCACGGATTGGCCTGGGTCAGACACGTGCTCCACGGCCACAAGTTGGTGGCCGTATTACAAATCACTATTGTAAAAGTCGTTTTCTGTGACATTGCCGCGCCGCGCGTGAAGAAATCTAAGAGTACCAGTCCGTGCGGTCGACGACTCGACAATAGACATTCGCAGAAAGATTTTTTAAGGGAGATCCGATGGTCAATCAGCAGCTCCTTACGCCCACTGCACCAGTCGTAAGTTGTGAATCCGCTCTAGACCATCCTAGTGTCGGTGTTTCCACAGTCGACCCGTGACGATCATTGTTTTTAAGCCGGCCAAGCGGGAATCAGTCGTTGTAGCACGTGCACGTTCAGCATCACCTGCAGTCTTGGAACATCCACTCTATCACCACGATTACCACTGCTGTTGCTGCCCCTACCTGCATCATGAGCATTACCCGTGTGCACATGCTCATCAACACTGTGAATATCTTGCACACCCGCACGAGTGCCCATACTGTCTCCAGCAGCAGCAACAGCTTCACCTCCAGCAATCCTATAAAGCACCGCAGAAAACGTTGACCTATAAGAGCGAACGGAAAGTGCAGCCAACGCTCAAATATGAAAGCTACGCTACCATCCCCAAAGTGGAAGAACATCGTCTGGGAAACCAACAGCTTCGTGAGGAGCACAGAGTGAGCCTCCTTGTTCGATTCGAGCACGTATTTCAGCTTTTCAGCAGTCACCTTAGACGCGCTGTCACTTTTCTTACTTCATAGCTTCCTTTAGCAGCAGCTGTACTTCAAAAATATATTGGGGTGGTCGGAAATAAATGGGACAGCTTGATTTTATCTACATTTTGAGATTTTTTGCTTCAATCAACGATAAGCAGGCTCTCAGACTTCGCTTTTATAAACGACTTTCGCCTATTAATCTGGTAACGCGCTGATACCTCTCCTGTCCAACGCTTGGCATGGCGCCTCGAACAACTTGGGCAGGTTTTGTACACCTCTCAGTCTTGCGCTGCTATACCGTGAAGTCACGATGTAATCAAAGGGCTCTTCAAGCTTTCTTGAACGGTTTTCATGCGAAAGTTTCCTTTTTTCCAGGTAGAAAAGGTTGAAAAGAAACTTGAAAATTCGCGATTTTTTTGGAGCAATAAAAGGCCTAAAAGTATGTTTTATTCTATATGTTCCAAAGACGTACGAAAGTTGAGGTAAAATGCATATGGATAAATAGAACGAAAAGAGCTTTACCCAGTGGTAAACAGAAAACTTGCGTTTACTTGGAAAGAAGTGAATTATGAGTGTCTACAGTTTCGAAAGGGCAATGACCAAATGTTCTGACTCACTCAGAGCGCTGACAACAACGAACCGTGGCAGGGATGACTGTTCCCCCTCACATTGCAGCAGTATCACTTTGGATGGTCCCACGTGCTTGATGCGCATATAAATGCTCAAAATTCATAATTTGTCGAAGTGACTGACTCCGCATTTCTGCCAAAAATTACTAAACATGTAAATGGCCTGTGTAGGTATTGGCTGAACGAATAATATGTTCTAACATTTTTCAAAACTAGATAATGTAAGAAAATCCTTTTTCTTGAGGAATCTGCAGTTACTCTCAAAGGTCCCTTACTTCCCGACCACCCTAACAGAAACTGTCCTTTGTACGAGCATTCTTGAATATAGCATGTCGTTCACAAAGAACAATGCTCTAGAATAATTTTTATTTCTAAAATCTACTCCGCCGCGACAATAGCCAGGAGTTGTGGTCTCAAGCCCTGCTCATTATGCTGCCTCTGAAACTCTAATTTCAAAGCGTGCTGTTTCGTACTGACAATAGAGGCTTGCGAACTGTTTTAGATTTGTCATTATTAATTCTTATGAAGGGAGTTTTGGAGTGAAAACAGTTTATTGGCATGTAGTAAAGTATGGAAACGCTTTTTTTTCGAAGCAAAACTTGCTGATTTGAGAAAAAAAA